TAACACATTAGAAAAATGGGAGAAAGGCAATATAATTGGTAAATATGTGTGGTGGTTGCTTAATAAAACTCAAGAAATAGAAAACCATGCTGACAGATTTAAATAAACAAAGGGAAAAAACCACAGGTATAGAAGAAATTAAAATGATTATACTTTGTATAAATTCAGGCCAAGAGAATTGAAATTCTAGATGAAAATCTTACTCTTTACACCAAAATAAATCTCAGATCAATGAACATTTAAAGTAAAAGAGTGAAACAAGAAAAGTATAAAAGAAAACAGAGTGAAATTGTTCATTATCTTGACGTAAGAAAAGCTTTTCTAAATAAGATGAAACCCCAAAAACCATAAAGGAGAAGATTGATCATTTTATTGAATAAAATGTGAAACTTCTATAAAACCAAAATATAAACAGCAAACTAGAATATCTTTTCTCAATATCTGACTGGAAAGGAGCAAATCTCTCCACTATTCGAAGAGTTTTTACAAATAAGTAAGAAAAAAGCAAACTTTAGAAAAATGTGCATAGGACACAAAGATCTCACCCACAGATGTGCAAAGGGCCAGAAATGCACAAGATATTCAAGTGTGTAAGTAATTCAAGAAATGCAGATTTAAATGATAAAAGGTTTTGCTTCTGGTGGCACTTATAAAAATGTAAACCCGCATACCTTTCCATGGCAGACTGTATTACTGTCCCCCACTACTTACTCCCAGTCCCCGGAAGAGGACTCCACAGCCCCACCTTTGGCCACAGGACGTGCTGAGAGCAGTCCAAGTCTGAATGCCTGTGGGAAGAGCCTTTGCAGGGTTCAGCCGTCACCCCCTTTCCCTCTGCCCCAAGAGCAACAAGTTCTGAACAAGGGTCTCCTTAGCTTAGATGTTGGAAGAAGAGGACCGGTAAATCAGAGCCACAGCCAACCTAAAACTATTGCAGCCAAAATATAACAAGAATGAGAAATAAACCTTAATTTTGGTAAGCCAAGGAGATTTGGAGGTTCTTGGTTACCAGAGCATAACCTAGCAAAAGCTAATTAATTAATATACCTCCCGATTCTACTTAGTGATAGAATGAGCTGCTTGATGGTTCATTTTTTTTTTCCAACTACCACTTAATAGCAATGACACATTGGGCAAGAGTGATTACTTTTTCTAATTCTCCATTTCCTCACATATGTGACACTTAGGGCTCAGTCTGTTTTGCTGTTTTAATTATTATAAATAAGACAAAGCAGCCGCACTGGACATAATTTGGAGAAGTACTCTTTTTTTTTCTGTTGTAACTTTTTTTATTATAGAAGTAATTATTATTAATCATTGAAATTTTAAGGCCATAGATAAGGGTAAAGAAAATAAAAACTGTGTTCTCACCACTGTTAATATTTTGATGTACTTCCTTTAAATTTTATTTTTCCCCATGCATTTTAAATAAAACCATACATACCTCTGCTACCTGCCTTCCCCCCTAACACTGTATCATTCTCACTTTCATTACAAACTGCACTACAAACCTCTGTAAACATTTTCAGTGGCTGCATAATATCTTCAAGGTTACCATTTTAAAACTATGTTCTTTGTTTTATATTGGCCATTTAAGTTATTGGCCCAATATCAACTTACTGATTTTATAGCAAACATGTTATTTTTAGAGAACTATTAATCTTCCCATTTTTTTTTTCTAAATGGTTTTAATACCTTATGATGTTGATCAGTCTCCTTCATCACATGTAGTTTCTTCTAACTTTATGCTCCTTCAGTGGGTATTTCCTTATGAAAAAGGGCACGGTGACCAATAACCCTGATAAGTTACAAACATTGAAAACAGACAGTATTTACAACAATCTTCATTTTGAAATCCAAACTCACTTCCATAGACTGAATGATGTAGTTAAGAATTTGTGTGTTGGGGGGGAAGCCATGCAATGCAAAAAACAAAGGCAGCTGGACATTCTAGGAAAAAAACAGAAGGTTGTATTAGAAAAGCATGATCCAGGGGCACCTGGGTGGCTTAGCTGGTAAGTCATCTGACTCTTGATTTCAGCTCAGGTCGTGATCTCAGGGTGGTGAGATGGAGCCCTGTGTCAGGCTCATGCTCAGCGCAGTCTGCTTGAGATTCTCCCTCTCCCTCTGCCCCTCCCCACCATGCTCTCTCTCTCAAATAAATACATCTTTTAGAAAAAGGCACAATCCAAATGTAAACTCACTGGTCCAAATCAGAACTGGATATATGTGTGCTTCAGTAGAAAAAACAGAATAGATTCCAGGCAGGAGAACTACTGATTGAGGAGTTGCACTGTACTAGGGATATATTGAAGAGGGCACATGTTTACTCTTGCAACAAGAGAAAACAAAGGCAACCAGAGAATCCAGGAAAATGAAAACGGCACAAGAAAAGCAGAATCCAAATATGGAGGAAACTAAAATGACACTGATCTTGAGCAATTCATGTCTATGAAAAGGTAATTCATTTGAATATTCTCCTTTGAAGGGAATGGGTAACTGAATAATGAAGTGCAGACAAGGAAATGTAATTATAGCATGCTAGCTGGCTCTGAAAGGAAAAATATTTATTTAGTCATAATAATATGTTTCTGTTTATTGACATTCAATTTTTCGGAGCCAGCCTACAGACAAAACATGAAAGACTTAATTATGATTATAGAACAAAGTCTGAATGTTATCAACTTTGACGGTCTGAAAGTCAAAGTGTGGCTGGGAGGCCTTGGAAGATGGAAGGGAAGAAGACAGGCAACATGGCTTAAGCCTTGTCTTGCAAAGGTAGGGAGTCAAGTTATGAGGAGTAGGAGGTATGGATCAAAAAATAAAAGATAACTGGGGTGCCTGGGGTGGCTCCCTCGCTGAAGCATCCGACTCTTGATTTTGGCTGACGTCATGAGATCGAGCCTTGTGTTGGGCTCCATGCTGGGCATTGGAGACTGCTTAAGATTCTCTCTCTCCCTCTCCCTCTGCCCCTCTCGCCCCCATGCTCTCTCTCTTTCTCTTAAAAAAAAAATAGAAGATTACTATTTAAGTTTACAAAGGAAGCTGATAAATGAGCTAAAAACAGTGTTATTGACTGTAGAGGAGGAGGATTTGAGAGTGTGGAGAGCACTGTCCTGTAGGAGCTGTTGTCCCCCAGCTTCGGGTCAGCCCTTGCCTGGCCGGCGCTGGGATGCTCAACCACTGCTCACCCTGTTCAACCACTCCCAGAGAGGCACTGTCAGTGGGGACACCAGAGGGACACTGAGGCTCCAGGATGGAAAAGGGAGGTGTTCCTTCTTGTTGGCTCCTGGTTCCTGTCCGTGTTTTTGCAGCAATGACTTTTCACCCCTGCATGAACGATCATCCAGTAACAGGAGGTGGCTCCAGTTCGCAGTTGTTCTAAAACTCCCAGAACCAGGCGCACGGTGCCCACTCAAAGATGTCAGCACTAGCCAGCTAGCACCCCTCTTCAGGGACTGAGCCCCAGCTCTGGAGGCAGCATGCCTCCCCGGGTCTAGCAGCCCTTCCTCCAAGTTTCCTTATTTGAATTAACGAACCTCTTCTGTGTCACCCTCCAGCCCCCTGCTAGTAGCTGCTCCCTGCAGTTGTCACCTGGGAGCTCCTACATGGTCCCCTTTTTGCCTTCAGTTCTCCAATACCTGGTTGATAACAATTCGTTGTATTAAACTCTCACAGTTAAGATAACTGGTGTGATTTTTTTCTTGCCCTGACCCTGGCTGATCCCAAAAATAGGTGGGTTAAATCCTCATTTATTACTGCAGCAAGTTAATAGATTATGTGTGACTAAAGTTAATAAATCAAAACTTGACAGTGTAAGCACGTAATATATAGATATTGGGGTAACCACCAGAATAACTGTCACCTCTGGGGAGAGGGCTGGGTTTGGGGGTGAGCAGGGGATGTTGCTCATCTGTACAGTTTCTTTTCAATGTATAAACATTTCTCTGATTAAAAAACTTAATTCCCTATCCTCTCTTTATATATATTGTGGAACCTCATTGCTAGGAAATGGAGAAAGTGCAATATCTCCTAAAATTTTAAAATAAAATCTGGTGGACTTGAAAGTCAAAGACTGATTCACCATATTTTGGTAAGTGATAAAAGAAAACCCTCAAATTTGAGTCTTTAAACAGCTCTAGCCACTGCTAATGAATAATCATAAAATGAATAAATGAAAACCAATTTAATAAGTAATAATAAATTGAATACATAATTAAATAATAAATTGAACAAATAATAATAATTATAATTGAATAAATTAAATTATTCCTCCATAAAACAGTAGGAAATGAAGTTGTCTTCGACTATTAAATGAAAAAGAAAGGCCTTGTTGAAAAGATAAATGAAAATCAGTGGATGGCAGAAACATTAAGACTCAGTTTCCCCAAAGCTTCTCATTGTAGAGATGAGTGAGGTGAGCTCCAGAAAGAAGAGACTCGGTTACAACTGAATGGAACTTTGCTGTCATCTGTACTCTCAGGAGACCTGTGATGGACTCCTACTGCGTGTCAGGCATAGTGCTAGGCTCTGGGGACTCCAAGGCCCCTTTCATTAAAAATCTTCAGTCTCGTAAGAAAAGGCAGGAATTCAGGGAACACACAGTATCCCTCTTATGTCCAGGCCCATTCACAAGGGCTGTCCAGTGTAATGGTTCATTTACTCTTCCTATCAAGGCTGTAAGGTAAGTGGGATTAACTCCACTTTGCAGAGGAGGAAGCAGAGACTCATAAAAGGTAAAAGAATTGTCCAAAGCCAGGAATGTCTGATTCCAAAGCCCCTATGCTCTCCTCTGCAACACTGATCTACAAAGTCATGGTCATAAATAATATGAGGAGGGTGGTGGAGGAAGGGGAGAGGAGAGCATTTTTTAAAGAGAGTCTCCTTGAGCCAGACTTGCTTAACTTAAAGACCTATTTCAATGAACCCTCATGGTGGGAAACATAGCCTCTCTCTGGGCCTGGTTCCTACAATACTGACACTCCATCTTTTTGCTGCAGGAAAAGAAGTTTGCTATGAAAGGGTGGGGTGCTTTAAAGACGGTTTACCATGGACCGGGACTTTGTCGAGACAGTTGGCAGGTTTGCCCTGGTCTCCAGAGGAGATAAACACTCGCTTTCTGCTCTACACTAGACATAATCCCAAAGTCTATCAGGTAAGCTAACTTGCTGCCTTCACACATAGGTTATTCTAAAATAGAACATGTAGCTATAGATAGAGAAGACCTAGGTTCAGTAACTTACTCTGGCATAAACTACTGATTTAAAGGCTGATATTTCTTTTTAGTATTGTGAGCCAGATTTTATTGTCATATTATTTGTCCTAGTACTTAAATATAAAGATTGCTCTGAATCTGTTGTTTCATATGAGCTTGATTTGATACTTCTTTTGATTAATATATTAATTGAGAGCCTTCCACATGTAAGACTGAACAAGCAACAGTACCTATTATGTATTAAATTAATTAAACAAGACAGTATCCTAAATTTATTATAGTAGGGAAAAATGGGATATGTAAACAATTAACCTCTGTTGCAGCACAAATTATGATCTGTTACATAAGATACAAACAAAAGAATCTGGGAGCGTGGTGAGGAAGGGCTTACCTTCCCCTTGGGGGTGGGACGGGAGCCAGAAAAGGCTTTGAGGAACACACCTGTTTGAGGTGTGTCCCGCAGGGTGGGCAGGGTTTGCGTAAGCAGAGACACACAGGGAAGTGACAGATGAACTGGCGTGGGCAAATGCAGACAGGAGAGAGCCTGCAGAGTACATCTGATGAATACAACATGCTGAGTTAGACGGGGGACAGAGAGGAAGTCCTCAAATATGGAGTGAGTTAGAAAAGTAGTTTAGAGACAAATTCTGTAACTCCTTCCTGGAGACTTTGGACTTCATCCTGTGAGCCAGGAGGCCCCACTGGGAGTTTTTAAAGAGGCTTTAAGATATTTACCCTGGCTGCAATGCGCCTTCTTGACTGGAGCTGGGAGAGCCTGCAGGTGATTGCCAGACCATTTAGTACCAAGCCACCCAACACGGTAACCATGAGCTATGTGGGTATTAAAACTAAATAAAATTAAAGATTCAGTTTTTCAGCTGCACCAACCACATATCAAGTGCTCAGTAGCCCCATGCGGGCTGGTGGCTACCATTTTGGACAGTGCAAATACAGGATATTTCCACCATCACAGAAAGTTCTATTTGAGAGTGCTAGAAAACCATAATGCAGTTTGGATCAGACTCACGGAACTAGCCTGAGCCAGAGCATGAGCATGAGTATGATGATAGAAAATTGACATGATAAACATCATAAACTGTCCTGAGATCCTATACATGAGTCACAGGAAGAATAATGACCCTCTTGTCAAGAAAACTTGATTGCGGATCCTGGAGAATGAGTTACATTTTGGACCAGTGAGGTTCGGGCAGTCTATTGGATATTTGCCTCTTGAAGCTCAGGGCAGTCTAGAGCTGGAAGAAGAGATTCCAAAGTCTTTTACCCAGAGGTGAGAGTTAAAACCCAAAGAGTGATGTGATCTCGGGCAGAGAAAAAAAGCATGATACTAGACTTAAGTGGAGCAAAGACCAGAAAAGATCATTTCCAGTCTCTACCTGCGACTCTATAACCCTGAGCCTCACTTTCCATCAGACCCAGCCAAGACAGCCTCTGCTGTGCCCCCACCCCCTACAAACAGAATCTGATCTGTAGCTGTCTACTTACCAGACACACACCCACATATGCGCAACCGGCTCTTCACTGAATTACGCCATTTGCTCTGTAGATGACAGCTCTATCAAAAACAAAGAAGAAAAGCCCTTATTTGGGGTACAGAGAAATTTACAATGCAAGTGTACTCAAATGACATTGTGGTAGATTCCACAACATGGAACGAACTTTCAAAACATTTTGCGAAGTTAAATAAGCCAGACACAAAAGGACAAGCATTGTCCGTTATATGAAATTCCCGTTTTATGAAACACCTAGAGTAGTCAAATTCATAGAGATGGAAAAGTAGAATAATAGTTACCACAGGCTGGGGGAGGGAACAACGGAGAGTTACTATTTAAGGGTATAGGATTTCAGGTTGGGATGATAAAAAAATTCCTTGAGAGGGATGGTCCTGATCGTTGCACAACAATGCCAGTGACTTAATGGTACTAAATTGTATACTTAAAAATGGTTAAGGTGGTAATTTTTGTGTTATATCTATTTTGCCACAGTTTTTTTTTTTTTTATTGTAAAGAGAATCTGTTGAATACAAATGTTTTGGAGTACCTTCGCTCTCTGGTTAGGACTTTAGGGTACGTGTGTGTATTCAGGACTAACTGTATCCCCTGGTCTTGACCCTCGGTCCTCATAGGACTCATTGGTCCTTTAGCCTTCTGCATAGTGGCCATGCACTTGAACTTTCATAGAGCACAGGCACTAAAACAGGTGATGAAGGTCAGTCTTTGGGAGAGTCTGGACCCTAAAGACAATGAAGAGAATATCAGACACCGAGCACTCTCCTAATAAAGGGACCATAAAGGCAATATTCCTCATGTCTTTTCCACTCCCTTCCATTTGGAAAAAACCATGTGACAAACCAGATCTGTAGTTGAATTTGCAATGGATGGAAGCCTGAGGGTTTGTAATTAAAGTGTTTTATACCAACAGTGAGGATACAGGATGAGTCAAGATACAATACTAAAAATCTTGATGGCCCCAGGCTTGAGCCATTTGCTACACTGCAAATCTGACTTTGTATATGAGCAAGCAAAAGTTAACTTGCAATGGTTTAACATACTCTTTTCTCAGAGGGAGGAATTGTTAAAGCGAAACATGGTGCAATAAACCGGACTCTTCTGAGTCACAGGTCTTCACAGCTACATTTCTGCAAGAATGAATTCAACCTGCTATCTCCCAGAGTGGCTCATATAGTTAATGACTAGTGGTGATGCCCATTTTGCATAATTATGGTAGTTTCTGGGCCTGTAGCTTTTCTCAAGGCTGGAACATACCTAACTGGTGACTACTTTTGACTTACTACAAATGAGATCGTCAAGAGACTAGTCATGCTTTGTGGAATGGGTTGATCTCATACCAGTGAGGTTCTATGATTCCTCAAAGATAAGAACATTAAAAGTAAAGGCCTGAGCGCCCAGATAACCATTGAGCCTTTACCTGGCCCTTTCTTGGGATAATCCCTTCTGTCCTGACACCCTTTTATGGCTCTGTCCATGTAGCAGCAGAAGCTGAGGTGTCTTCTTTGAGTTGATTCCATGATGTTTGAGTTTCCTGTTTTCTAGGTTAGTATGCCATGTCACAGGGGTGTGCCAGATTGAATATGAAGTGAACAAAAGTGTTTTTCTACCTTTCCTACTTTATTAAATTCTTCAAGGCTTTCATGACAATGGAGGATGCTCAGATCCCGCAGTTCTTGTCAGATTGACACTTTGAAGCTTTCACAAGGCCCCACATCCAGCATCTAGCTCTTCTCATGACGGGGAAAGATTAAACAAACTTTTTCTACCAAATCCCCTTTCCCAAATAGGTTTTCACTTTTTTTTTTTGACATAGAAATAGAAATATAGTTGGTGTTTAAGGGGCTCCAGTTGGAGTTGGAGTTAACATCTGGATTCTTTTAAATATATAGATGGATAAATGTTTTTGCTTTGGGATTCCATTATTCAGCAGAGCAGAACTTCCAAGAAAGCCCAGATACATTTGATTTTATTATCTGCCTCAACAAATCCCACATCTGCTCTGGGCCCTATCAGTAAAGAACAGTATGATCAGATCCCAACTTGAGAGCTCAGTGGTGGAACACATGACTTCAGAGAAAGACCGTGTGGGTTTCAGCCCCTCACTCCAGGACTCGTTAGCCGGAGTGCTCTTGGGACAAGTGCCTTAACTTTTCATTGTGCCTTTTCCTAATCTCTAAAGTTAGTACCTACCTCACAGTGTCATGGAGGATAAATGAACTACACCATAAAGTGCTTAGAACAATTCCTGGCACATAGGCAGATACGAGTGTAGCTGTATTATAACTACTGTGTAAGCCAACTTAGGATTCTCATAATTGTTTGCTTACCATCTTGGAGATACTTTAGCCAGAATTTGTATGATTAACTTGCATGTTACTATTAAACACAAGTAGCTAGTAATAGGCTCTTTGTTTGAAGGCTCTTTGTTATAAGATTCACCATCGTCAAACTTGCAACTCGCTGATTAGAGTGTTCATTTTTTTTCTCAAAACAGAATTTTGAGCATTTCTTATATTGTGCCTTTTCATTTTTCTCTTAATAACGAAATCACTTAAATGCATAGTATCACTAAGATGAGTTTGGTTGGTTATAAGAACAATCCAGCAAAATACAAGAAATACAAAAGAACATTCAAGGTAATTACATAAAATGATCTTTAATATGCTATTTTACTGCATGTGGTGAGATCCTAACCTTTGTTCCTCCCTCATAAAGTGGGGTGAACGATCTGTTTTGCCACCTTGACAGCATGCTTTTTTTTTTTTTAAAGATTTTATTTATTTATTTGATAGAGACACAGTGAGAGAGGGAACACAAGCAGGGGGAGTGGGAGAGGGAGAAGCAGGCTTCCCACTGATCAGGGAGCCCGATGCGGGGCTCGATCCCAGGACCCTGGGATCATGACCTGAGCCGAAGGCAGACGCTTAACGACTGAGCCACCCAGGCGCCCCTTTGCAGCATGCTTCTAAGCCTCAAATAGCACACTACTCATGAATCCCATCAGCAGAGAAGTAATTGCTATTCAAAAGTAAGGCTGACGGAAGTCCTGACTGAAACTGACCCAGCATCATCTCACAAACCTTGCCTTAAAACCAAACACTCTTCTTTCCTTTCCTTTCCTGTGATTACATTTATATACTGTATTTGATAATGCATTAATAATTTCTTGGCACTTTTCAGTGCATAGCAGTAACTATTTCTTTGGTAAAAATATATTAAAGAAGGTTGTCAAGAATCAAATGTAGTGGAAGACTTTTGAGCAGACTTAGAATAATTCTACTAAATGTCAAATAATTTTGAATTATTATTTTACCTTAATCTCTTTTCACTTGAAACAGGAAATCAGTGCAGTTAATTATCTAACTATCCAAACCTCACACTTTGGAACAGACAAGATGACCCGTATCAACATACCTGGATGGAAATCAGATGGAAAATGGCAGCAAGACATGTGCAATGTATGATGTGGACAAACTCTTCTTTATACTTGTGTAAAAGTTGTATGTTTAATGAGAATGTACTTCGCATATATTAATGCATATTCATGGTAATTCCTCCATTCAGTTACATTGTCCCTGTCCCAAGGCCCCAAATGAATTATCCATTTCCTATTTATACTCACTTATTATGAATTGCATAGATTACAATGAGAGCATATTTCTTTGTAATTATTCTTTGATAAAGTCTCACTTTTGACAAAAGATTGAATGATAAGATAAATTTCTCACTTAAGGGAAAAAATTTTCCAGGTCCACTCCAAGAAATTAATTTTCCTCTCTGATACTCAAGATTAATAGACTGCTAACATAGTAGGCAATTACTTATTTATAAGTCCATATAGTATAGTAGAGTCAGGCTGCCTGAATTCATACCATGGTTTTACGTACCATGATCGTGGGGAAGTTTAATTAACCTGTCTGTGCTTTGGATTCCTTATCTGTAAAGGGGATTAAATAAGATAATATATGTAAAAGGGTTAAGACAGGACCTCGCCCGTAGTAGGTTCAACACCTGGTAGTGTTATTTCTTATTATGGAATCCATTGCTCAGTCACTTTGGCTTTCTTTAATTCTTATTTCTTCCATACTTATAATAAATCTTTGTGCCAGGTGTTGCTAAAAGTGGAAGACGTGAACTGCATTAACATAGACTGGATTAACGGTTCGCTGGAATACATCCATGCCGTAAACAATCTCCGCGTTGTTGGTGCTGAGGTGGCGTATTTTATTGATGTTCTCGCGGTAAGAAACGTTGATTTTTTAAAAAAAAATTGCGTTTAATTGGCTTTGCACAATAACACCAAGAATTTGCATTGATTTTTATGGCTTTTTTATTAGCTTACACGAGTTCTGAACATGTGAGATATTAAGCATTCCTTTCTGTATGGTGACCAGGAAAGGGAAGTCACTTCTTGGGAAAGAAGTGCCTGTGGTTCTCCAAAGCGCCACTTGGTGGCAGTGTCCCTTCACAGGCTCCTCACCAAATGCTTCCCCAGCCCTAACCCCACCCCCAAGGTCACTTCCCCGGTCAGCTTATAGGCCCCTCTCCTGCCAGTTAGTTTTCATCCCATTGTAAACCTACCCTTAATGATTATAAACTGTTCGCATCTTATGAATGCTATTTGTTTAGAATGTGAAATACATTTTCCCCCAGAAATTGGGTTCTGTGGCAGTGAATTAATTAGGTCTGTAGTCCAGTCCAGGCACAATAACCTATACATTTTCTAAAAGAATAAAATAGACTTTGCTATTTATGAGGGTTATACCCTGAGGCATTTATAAATCTCCAAGTGCCCTACCATTATAGAAAGTAATTTCCCACCATAAAATGCAGTGAAGTAAAATCTAAAGATTTATGACCCTTTCAGACTCTTAAAGAGGGTTCACTCATTCATTCAACAAGTATTTTTCTCTGCATTGGCTGTGGGCTAGGGGCTGTTCTAGTCACTGAAGATACAGGGCGAGTGAGACAGTGTTTCTGCTCTAAGTGTGTGGACGGTACTCTAAAGAAGTCCAAGGATGGAGAGAGACTGGAGCATCAGCTAACCTAGATGGGCAGCCAAGGGAGGTGGTCCTCGAATCCTGAGCACAGTGAGGAAGCAGCGGGAGAGGACTTAGGGAGCCAAGTCCTCACCTCTGCCCCCACACTGCTTGTCTGCTCTTCCTTGCTGTCGAGGGAGACCGGGGCACAAGGTGGTACTAGGATGGGTCCTTGCATCCAAAGGATGAAATCCGATTAATCTCCTCTTCAGAGAAAAACCTGTCCTAAGCTTTTGTGAATTTCTTCGTGGATCCTGGGGCCTGCGCTGTGGGCTCTTCTAGGTCCAGGAAATAAATAGTAGTGGCTTATAGGAGAGGAAATGTTTGCTGAGCTGAAGGGGGAAGCATTTGCTGAGGTACATGTTCAGTGAATTGATGGGAACAGAGGAGGGGAAGACTGAGGGGAAAGAGGGCTGATCTCAGATAACAGGCTGTAGAGGAAGACAGAAAGAAAGCATAGATTTGAAAGGGTGGCAGCATTGGAGGGAGGGGCCCCCTAAGGACCAGGAGACATCCTGGGGCAGCCATTCACGTGTTAATGAGAGAGAAAATACTCTTTATAAAGCAGCACATAATATTGTCATTACTGGTGGGGAAAAAATGATCAAATGATAAATTTATCCACGTGAAGGCAATTGCTTGATTTTCACTGTTATCATGAAGAGAACTTGAAGCTTAGATGAAACTAAAAATGCTTGCTCCTTTGTTCCCCATTGAGTGTGTGTGTGTGTGTGTGTGTGAGAGAGAGAGAGAGAACTCTTAGACACATAGTCATTTTGTAAATATTCTTAAAAAGACCTCTTTGAAGACCAAACTCAGCCCAGGCATTTGCTAGAGTGTCCTTCATCTGGAGGAGACAGACATAGGTAAGGTGGGTAACAGCCTGGGTATGACTGCATTTGACCTGTGTTGGGTGTATTCCAGAAGGGTTGGGTCTCAGGAAGAATGGGCATGGGCTGGAAGCCATAGATGTGGTTGCTGGGCTGTTCTTCCCTGAGGACCACGAGGCCCCTTAACACAGGAAGAAAAACCTGACCTCCAGTCCTGCCCGGTGCTTTCTCCTTCAGCCAGACAAGGAGGCGAGTGGACATGGGGGGTCACTTTGTCCATTGACTAATTCCCATCCTGTGTGTGAGAGGGACAAATATGTCAAGCTTAGGTCAAACACATGTAAGCCATTCCACCTGGTCTTTTAAAAATACGTGTTGTTTTCCTTTAAAAATCCTATCAGAAAAAATTTGGATATTCTCCTTCTAAAGTTCACTTGATTGGCCACAGCGTGGGAGCACATCTGGCCGGGGAAGCTGGGTCGAGGGTACCAGGCCTTGGAAGAATAACAGGTAAGCCTGCCTTGGGGTTGGGCCTGGAATTTGCTTACACATTTGTTTACACACAAAATCAAGTATCTGAAACACCAACTGAAGTTGAGGAAGCAAATGTAAGATAGGAGAAAATGGGACTCAACTACACATAAAAGGATTTTCAAAGCATGAGGGTGTAGATCCACGTTAGAGAATGTTCACTGTGGCATTACCTGTGGTGGGAAAGTAATGGGAGCTGACCTCTACCAGCCGAGGACGGCTGATGGAGATGACATGCTGTGCGACGCCATGCCTCTAACACAAAGAATGAGTGAGAGCCTCACTGGTGGTTCTGGAAGGATGTCCTGGACACATCGGGGGCGCAGCTCACAGTGGATGCTGGCTGTGTGGAACTGGTTTAAGGCCTGTGCCCAGGCTGTCCCAGTTGCTAGAATGTTGAATATTACCCCCGGATATACTATTAAGTCTAAAAATAAGTTGCAGAGTCAGGTATGTAGACTACGAATTAGCATGAATTAGTATATACCGTGAATTAGGTTTTTGAGGATGATAATCAATCATTTCCCTTCCCTGCACGCCGACTTCCAAACCAATTGAGTCAGATGGAATGAGATTGAAATATCAGCCTCAGTATCAACAAGTTGGCCTGGCGTCTCTCTCCTCTGCATCCCCAACCAATATTCAGTCAGCAGGTGCTGGATTTCCTCGTCCGCTTTGCACCTGTCCGTGTCCTGGTCACTGTCCCAGCTCAGGCCTTCTTCATTGCTCGCCTGGATTTGGTCACTCGTGACGGGTCCCCCAGCCCAATCCCCCACAAGTGCTACCAAGTCCTCATGTTTCCAAATACAGGCTGTGTCACTCACTGCTGGAACTTTCCATTGCCCAAAGCCTCTTAGCTTTTCACATAAATGGTTCATGTTTCATTGTGGCTTTTCGTATTTCTTTGCCTTGCCCCAAGCTATTGCCCCTTGCCCTAAATGGCCACAGTTCATTTTTCAAGATTCATTTCAAATGCACCTTCCTCAGACAGAGTTAATTCTCTCTACTTCCCATATCCTTTGAAATATCCCTCTATTATATCCGAAAATGCAACTCTTGTGTTGCATGGTTATATATATACATATATAACATATATACCTACATATACATATATATACAATTATTCATTCACCTGTTTATTTTGATAGACCCTGAACTACTAAGAAAGTCTCCCTTACCCCCACACCTCCCCAGGCCTGACACATAGTAGGTGTACATTTCCTGTTGGTTAAAACAATGAACGTACACACATACTTATGCTTTAAATTCAAATTTGAACTTTAAGTATCTTTTTCTAAAAATAGTTAAGAACTCCAAATTGCATGTACAGTGTTTTGTCTCTGCAGCTTCTCAGTATAGCAGACTTCTCCTGCTGAAAACTTCCTTTCTTCTAGCTCCCAATCCCTACCCCAACAACAGCACCAGCCCATGGCCATCTTTCTTATTTGGGATAATAAAATTGTATTTTTATTCTGAAGTCATTGGGTAGCAAAAATCTCCCTTTGCTCTAAGTTTTCAGGCCCAGGGGAATGAAGAAACAGGCAGAGTTTGGGACGATGGAACGTCATGGGGCCTACACAGCCTTTCAGCCATAAATGAGAGGGAGGAACATTGCTGTTCATGTACTAAAAATCACACTGGGTTACCATAAATTTGTGAAGATTTTGTTTTTCTCAATTTTGATTTCAAAAATCAGATACTATATAACTCCCAATTCTTCCTCCCAAGTGAATTATCCCGTTGAGTAAATAGAAAACAATACATTTTTAAAGGCTCTCTGAAAATCCAAAGATTGCTATAATTTAGATGCCACAATCTATATTCCTTGCAAGTGGTTAGTTTTTGAACAATCATGTTCCTTGAGTAATAAAAGAACTAAAACTTCAAGAAAGATACTAGCTTTATCATAAAACCAGTTCAAAGCAAAATTAAATGATAGATTTTAAGACATGCCTAAGTTGAACCTTCTGCTGCCTTTCCTCCTGAGACCTGGAACCACCCAAATGCAGGGGCCCTGCTTCCCTGCTATTTGCCCCTTCTCTGATCAGTAGACTCTGAGGTGGGTCTCACATTTGGATGCATCTCTGCAGAGCTCTTGACTTCATCAGAAGCTTGCAGCGAATTGGCGATTGCACACTAAACAATCAAATGAACTTCCTAGCATTGAAGATCGATCCTGGGACTGTTGTGTCTTGGAAGCGTGGGGCACAAGCCTTCACTTCTCGCTCCTGCCACATTTCCACAGGGCTCAGGCCACTCTGCTCCAAGTCCTCTCCACTCTGGGATCCAGTCTCCATTTTACAGCAAAGGGATTTTTGCTAAAATGTTATCTCCCCTTTTGCAAACTTGTAAGAGCTTCCCATTGCCAACCAGAGGATGTCCAAACCCTTTTGCGTGGTTCAGCTTACATCTGGCTCCTGCTTACAATGCTAGTTTTGTCTTTCACCCAGTTCTAAAACTCTGTACACCAGCCCTCAAAAACCAGTTACAGTTTCCCAGATGTGCTTAACTGTTTCACCTGCAGGCCATGAAGAGTATCTTTCTTACCCCTGGGGCGCTGCTGACCCCTCTTTACCCTGGCCAACTCTTCTGGTTCCTCAGATCTCTGCTCGTATTTCCCATCTCCAGCAGAAGCATGTCCCAATTTCCCAAGACTGGCTTATGTGTTGCTTCTCTGTGCTTGCATAATACCTAGGTTCACCTCTGTCTCTGCACTGAGAGCATCCTGAATCGAGCTGTCTTCTCTCTTTGTGTCCATCAAACACAAAGCTCTTTGAGGACAAGGCTAGGCCTTATTCTTTGTATCCAAGTGCTGAACCTAGTTCCTGGCACATGGTAAGTGCTTGATAAATAAGTGTCAAATGTATAAATGAGTGGATATGGGAATGGTCATAACATCTTAGAGACCTCTAGATATCTTACCTTTATCTTTATTAGATATTTGAACAGGAGACAGTGGGCTGAGGGTCTAGACACTTGTGCTCTTAGTCCATTTTGCCTCCAGTATATGGTGACCTTGTCAAGTCACTTCACATCACCGGATGTCAGGCTTTTCATTTGTAATGTAATGAAGTGGAAATAATGAGCCACAGCTGAAAACTAAGCTTAAGTGTGTTGCTTTGTAGATTCATGTTTACATGCTAAAGAGCTCTTATCTTTTATTTTTATCTCTATTTTTGCATACAGATGTTGCTTTTGAGATCATCTGCAATCCATACCTTAATTAGGTATATGGTAATCCTGCACAGACCCTAGAATTTGATCCTTCTGACTTTGTTAATTGTTTTGGTATTGTCTGGACACAGCCTTACTTGTGAATAGGAATGTGACATTGTAATCTATAGAGACCTGCATGTCTATACTCAATTTATGCATCTATACTTTGTCTTGCGTGGTGTTTGACCTATATATATCATAAAGGAAAGAATACCTTGCCCTCACCATCTATCCTTCCAAAATAACAACACTATGAATATACTCTTAGAGAGAACGTGTCTTGGTTTAATGGATTTTCATGTTTTTTTCCAGGGTTGGACCCAGCCGGGCCATATTTCCACAATACTCCAAATGAAGTTAGGCTGGACCCCTCAGATGCCAAATTTGTTGATGTCATTCATACAAATGCAGTTCGCTTGCTCTTTGAGTTTGGTAAGTTTTGAATACAAACAGAAACTACACTGAAGCATGGAAAAGAATTTTAGAAGCATTTATCCTGCTTTTATCTATTTCAGGTGCTGGGACTATTAATGCTTGTGGTCACCTTGACTTTTACCCAAATGGAGGGAAGCATATGCCAGGATGTGAAGACTTAATAACACCTTTATTTAACTTTGATCTCAACGCTTACAAGGAAGGTAAATACTTTCTAAAATATGAAGCTGGCTATTATACATTCACACGGCTCCCTCCTTGGACAGGATCCACACCCTTTTGCACGTAATATAATATAAAAATATGCTTTAGCCCCCAAACACAGTCACATTCATAAAGCTCCCACCAGTTGTGAGATCTGTGAGATCAGGGTCCGTGTCTTATTTATCTTTGTATCCCCAGGGCCTGTCAGAATGTCTAGCATGTTGTAGTCATTCAATGTAAATGAGAAGGATATGCTTATTCATTCAGCAAGATGTATTGAGTACCTACTATGTGCCAGGCATTATTCTAGGAACAGAATACAAAATGAAATGAATACAAAAGACAAAAACCCCTCCATGATGGAGCTAATATTCTAATTTGCTAGAAAAACAATAATAGAGTAAGGAGACAAAATAAAGCATGGAATGAAATATGAGGTGTTGGTGATAGTGGGGGTCAAGTGGGGAAAGGAGATTTTTGATAGGGTGGTCAGGGAGTCCTTACTGAAAAGATGACCTAAAGGAGTTAGCCATGAGAATACCTGGGAGAAAGGCATGCCAGGCCAATGGGTGGGGGGCAGCCAGTGTAAAGGGCCTGGGGCAGGAGCCTGCCTGGGAAGTTCATGGCAGTGAGGAGCCTACTGTGGCTGGAGTGAATTGAAAGAGGAGAGTAGGAGGCATGAGGTTAGAGAAGGGGCAGAAGGAGAAAATACAGGGCTTTATGGACCATTATAAAGATTTAAGCTCTTACTCAAGTGAGATGGGAGACGTGGGAGGATTTGGAGCAGAAGAGAGATATGGTTTGACTTACTTTTTAACAGAATCACTATGGATTATACATTAAATTAATCACAAATAAACAAATAGTATTTAACCCTTTATAATAGTGTCCAATAACAATAGTATCTATAGAGCACCTGGTAATAAGGCAACAGAAGTTATTATTTGGGGATTTCATTATTCTCTGGATCTGCATATCATCAACATGTAAATAATGAAACATATCATACATAATATATAAAATGCATAATACTATAATGTATGATGATATGATAGTAAATGAATGACTCTAAATATCTCACCCTCTGATTCCACATGGTCAGAATATCTTGATGATGTAATTATTTGATCTTCCAATTGGCTGGTGTAGTGGAAAGATACACAGATCATGACATTGAGAGTAGCTGGAATGTCCTCTTCTCTAGAGACAAATTGCAAAGTTTTAATATCTGTTCTGAAGAGTAAATGTGATTAGAAGTATCTGTTTGCAATGCCTACTGAAGAAAAGAAACAATAACTGGCGAATTACAGACACTCAAAATGAGAAAGCCAATTCCAGCTAGAAGAGATAAGCAAAATTCATTCAAATAAGGCCTATTATAAAACTTATTTCTCTTCTTATTTTCTGTATTATGACTTAAAATCCTTTCTATTAGGGTAAAATATAGATCATAATATTTCTTTATATACATACACAGAACATTTGAAATTCTGTAAAGAATTAATTCAAGTAAAATATATTTTTCACAAGCTATCATTTTAAGACGTTATAAAATTTCCTACAACTCTATTTAAAGTATGTGTATCGGGGCACCTGGGTGGCTCAGTCGTTAAGCGTCTGCCTTCGGCTCGGGTCATTGGTCCCAGGGTCCTGGGATGGAGCCCCACATCAGGCTCCCTGCTCGGCGGGAAGCCTGCTTCTTCCTCTCTCACTGTGTCTCTCTCTATCAAATAAATAAAATCTTAAGTAAAAAAAAAAAGTATGTGCATCAGTCATGTTATGATTTAGGTGAGTTCGAAGACATTAAGATATTCGATTTTACATTATACTTATGACTAAGAAATCACTTACTTTTAAAATTTATATTTCCCAAATGCTAACGAACCATCTTGTCTACATCACAATTAATTGTGCATATAAATCTGAATATAAAAAGACCTGACGTAAGAGATGTCCTTGTTTTAAAAAAAAAAAAATGATGCCATTTATTGATCTTGCTTTCTGAAGTTACCCTGTCTCAGTTATCTATTGCATGACAAACCAGAATGGCTTAAAAAAACAATGGTTTCATTGCCCATTGTTCTGAGGGTCAAGATTAAGGCAGATTTCTATAGAAACTTTGCTTTGCGATGTGAGTTGTGTGATTGCATCCAGTTGGGGGCTACACTGGGTTAAGCTAGGTGGGAAGATTCAACATGGTCTTCCACGTCTGGGGTCTTGGTACTGGTTCTTCTCTTTAAGTGGTCTGTTCATCTTCAGGGCCTTTCTTCCCAGCCAGTTAACCAGGATTTCTTAACAGAAAAGCTGGGTTCTAAGAAGGCCACCGTGGATGCTAGAAGGTCTTTTAAGACTGAGGACCTGAATTTGCATGGGGTCAATTTCTCCATGTTCTGTTGGTCAAAGCAAGTCAGGGGACTAGCTTGCAATCCAGGGTTGGGTGGGGGGAGTGAAAAAAAAATAGGCTCCTTGCTCTTGAAAGGAGGAATGGTAATCTGTTATTGCAAAGGGGTGAGGACCTAAAAAAGAGTGACTCATTGGAGGCCACTATTACAGTATAATGATCTACCACATATACTAAAACAAAATCTAGATTCTCAAAGATCAACCAAGTTGTGTAGGTCATTGGAAAACTAGTCCATGGCAGACACTAAAGATGTTGCTATAGAAGATTTAAGAGCATAAGTGACTAGAATGCTATGCTAACTTCAGAATGCACAAATGTATTTAGATGCATCTTATTTATTGTTGCAATAATCTGAACTATTAGTGGCCATAATGTCATGCCTGGCAATGACAGAACTAACTTGTCTGTAGCATTCTTTATAATACTTCTCACCTGTGACACCTCGAAGCTCAGTTGAAGGTGTGCATGGGTTAACATTGTTGGCTGTGTTGTGATTGAATAGGAGGGAGTTCAGTCTTCATGCAGAAACAGGGAGACAGAGAACAAATTGGTCTAAGGTGGAGATGCTGTGTGCACAAGAATTCTGAAAGCTCTAAGTGCTTGAAAGCTCTAGGTCAAAGATCCGGGAAGTGTTGAAGATAATAGTATCAGAACACAAAGTCATTTCTATTTGCATTTGTTTATTTACCCTGCTTGAATGTCCCTGGAGATTCACACAAAGAATTGTTTGGTACAAAGAAAAGGATATATGCTATTGATAAATGTTGTTCAGTATCCAAGCCTACATACAAGGTCTGGCCGTCTAGACATCCCAAGTCAAGAATCTGTTTTTTTAAGTTACTTTTCTAAGAAATGGTTCTTACTATTAGTTATCAGTTAATCCATTTATTGCTATTAATTAATTGGAAATTGTCTTTGCAGAAGTGGTTTCCTTCTTTGATTGCAACCATGCCCGAAGTCATCGCTTCTATACTGAAAGCATTCTCAATCCTGATGCATTTATTTCTTATCCTTGTAGATCCTACAGATCTTTCAAAGCGGTAAGTAAAGTATTTTGCTGTGGTATTTAATTAGCAAGTCATTTTTTGAACCATGATCGGCCAACGAATTAGTACTTTGAGTATGTGGCAAAAAATGCATCTGCCATCTTGGGAAATAATAGATTCTTTCTCTGTGCAGAGTGCTGAACAGTAGCTGGATTGCTGAAGGGCTTAAATAACTAAACCAACTATTTGTATTCTGGTTGTTTCAGCTCTTTTGAAGATTATATCCAAGTTTGTGTTTGGGGCCATTTGTTATGCAGTAATTAGATGCTTACTGTGTAAGTCCAGGGCAAAAAATTGTCTGTGTGTATATTTTAAATGTCATCTTCAAAGATGCCCCGAGAAGGTTGAACCAATCAATAGCTACAACCAAACATATTACTATTTACTTGGAACGTGAAAATTATTTTATTAAAATTTAATTATTTATACAGAGCCGAACTAAGGCATATAGCTCACAGGAGTTCCACACAGATCAATAAGGGACAAAATACCAAATCTGATTTTGTTTAAGTCATAAAACGCACGGTGCCAGATCTGAACTAAATGTATTTTTCATTTGGTTATCACTATGAAAAGGAGAAAGAAAATCCATTTTGTAGTGAGAAGTGGAAAGATTTTCCTTCTTACGCTTCAGAGATCTAATTCCCTGTTTTATCAGGGTAGAAAATGTGGGGTTTCCAGCTGGAGTTTATTGTAAGTAATAGCACTTTGTGGCTAAGTTTAGTGTTGGGACAGGAATGAGCCGTTTCTGTCCTCTTAAACAGAGCAAGGTGACTGGATGCCCTTCAGCCACCTTCTCCGTCTCGGGAGCCAGTTATTCTTACCCATGGCATGCCCTGGTGAACTGCCATGCTTGGGGAGCTTGCCAGCCAAACCCTGGCATTTTCCCAACCACCTCCTTCTATGTCGCCTCCTCCTCCTTCCGGCCCCAGATGCTGCTCTGAGTGGCTAAAGGGACCTTGACACTTACTGTACCGAAGGCATATGGAAGAAGCCCTCGGAGTCACAGTCTAGTCAGAGATAATGGGCTACAGTCTGCGAGATGGGAGAAGCTTAGGCTCCTGTGCCACATGGATGCCAATTATGGCTACAAACTAGAGAACATTGCATCAATTTCCTTGACATGTTTTATTGTGCTTCTACCCAAACAGTCGTAAAGAGGAAGTGAAGTGAAATAAATAGAACAGAACAGAATGAAATAAAATAAAATTAAAATAAAATAAAATAAAATAAAATGAAGGAGGAATTCTAATACCAGGCTGTCTGGTTCACATCCTTGCTCCCTCACTTACTAGACACGTATCATTGGACCAATTCTTTAACTGCTCTGCACTTCGGTTTCCTCGTCTGTTTGATAAGGAGGCTGAAAGCACCGTAATAATAAAGAGGCTTGTGAGGATTAATTAGTAAAATGCACATAAAGTGCTTAAAAAGTGCCTGGCATGTGGTAAGCCCTTAATAAATATGCGCCCTTTTATTATTGTTACAAGTTTTCTTCATTAAAAATAGAGTTTTACATGGGATGCTTTACTATAATCCTAGCCTTAATGTTCATGGTTTATATATCCGAAACTTCAAAACTTAAAATAACAAATATTCAAACACCGCTACCAAGATTTTTTTAAGTTAACATTTTGTTAGTTTTGCTCCGAATTTTAAAATGTACAGATAAAATTTCATTCCCTTTCATTCCTTCCCACCCTCCTCTGAGGCAGGGTTTGGAGTAAATCCAATATGTATCAGATAAATAGTATTACACTTATCTTCCTGGATTTGCTTTGTTGTTGTTGTTAAATTTTATAAACTTGAGATCTACATTGATATGTGTAGATCTAATGTATTTATTTTATAGGAATCAGTCACAATTGATTTCTTCATTCCCCTACTAATACACATTTTGGTTGTTTCAGGTGTTTGTTATTAAAAGCAGTTCTCAGGGGCACCTGGGTGGGTCAGTCGTTAAGTGTCTGCCTTCAGCTCAGGTAATGATCCCGGGGTCCTGGGATCCAGCCCCGCATCTGGCTCCCTGCTCGGCGGGAAGCCAGCTTCTCCCTCTCCCACTCCCCCTGCTTGTGTTCCCTCTCTCACTGTGTCTCTCTCTGTCAAACAAATAAATAAAATCTTAAAAAAAAAAAAAAAAGCAGTTCTCAGTAAATACTTCTGTATGTCTACTAGTGTGCTTGTATGGAAGCTTCTTTATGGCATGTAATACAAGTGAAATTGTCAAAGCATGTGTGCATTTGTCTTTTTTTTTTAAGATTTTATTTATTTATTTGAGAGAGAGAGAGAGTGCAAGCACGGGGAGGAGCAGAGGGAGAAGGACAAGCAGAGCCCCACGTGGGGCTTGATCCCACCCCGAGATCATGACCTGAGCTGAAATCAGGAGTCGGATGCTTAACTGACTGAGCCACCCAGGCACCTCACATTTCTGTCTCTATTAGACATTACCAAATTGCTGTCTGCAATATCTGTCAATTTACATTCCCATCAGGAGCAAACGAGATTCCCACACTTGTCTTCACCACTACTTGATGTTGCAAATTGTTTTAATTTTTGCAGATCTGCTGAGTATGAAATTGTATGTTGTTTTCATTAGCCCATTCCTGACAACTAGTAAGATTGAGCAGCTTTTTCCATAGTTATAGACTATTTGACTTTCCTCTTCTGGGGATTCTCTATTCATAGCATTACTCACATTTCTAATAGGCCATTTTTTTCCTCTCAGTTGTTTTTGTTTTATTTTGTTTTGTTTTTGAAAACAGGGTGGCCCATTAGGCAACTTAGTCATTTTTAAATGCATGTGCTTTATTTAAATTTTAAAGATTTATCATAGTTTAATAATATATCAAGAGTTTATTGAAGGTCAACATTTCTAATTACATTTCTAACCTACCTCTTTTTTTCTGTCACCAGGGAAATTGCTTCCATTGTCCCAAAGAAGGTTGCCCAACAATGGGTCATTTTGCTGATAGATTTCACCTCAAAAATACGCAGCCTAATAGATCATATTATTTTTTAAACACAGGGTCTCTTTCCCCATTTGCCCGTAAGTATTGAAGCTCAGTTTTTTTTATTGTAATGCTTTAAGGTACTTATCTTTAAAACTTCAACAGTTTTTACTGAGTGTCTACTAAATAACTGGGCACTGGGCCAGACTCTGAGGATGCAGGGAGGAAGCAATACCGTGAGTTTAGACTAGTGGGGAGTTTCAATCCCGGGTAATAAACGTTCTGCTAAGAGACATGCAAAAGAGGGTCTTCCACAACCAAGTCAATGGAGCTTTCTGAGGGAAGGTGATTTCTGAGTGGACTCCTGAAAGATGAGTAAGAGAGAAGGAAATGGAAGCATTCCAGGCAGAAGGAACAGCACATGTCAGGACTGTGGAGGCCAGGAGGAGAGTAATATGAGATGAGGCAGGAGATGTAAATTAAGTCAATAATGAAATCATGAGCCATGTGGGGAGTTCGGAATTTATGAGTTCCTGGAAAGCCACCAAAGGGTGTTAAGATTATCAGATTGGTTTCTTAAAAAGCCATTCTTGTTGCCGCATAGATTAGAGGGAGACAAGATGGAAGCAGAATGACTTGTTAGGATAAGTGCTGCCTCACCACCATGGAGGGTGATGGATGGTAACTAACCTTGTGTGCTAATCATTTCACAATATATCATTATGTGTGTATCACGGTATACACGTCCACAATGTTCATGTCTCAATAAAGCTGGACAGAAAGGTAGGAGACAGGGAGAAAGTACAGAGATGGTTGGGAGGTAGAAGCAAAATGGAACCTGGCAAATGGACTTGAGGGATGCCAAAAGTCGAGAAGTCAAGGATGGTTCTGGCTCGCTGGATGTTGTTCCGTTCGCTGAACTTGATGACACAGGAAGAAAGTCTGGCTTGGAGGAGGCTGATGGGCTCAGTTTCTAACTTACCAGGTTTTGAGATGCCTTGGGGTGTGGGGGGGGTGTGCCCACAAGGTAGTCAGAGATACAGGAGACCGATGTGATCTACAGATAGTGATTTGAGAGATATACCTGTGTGTAGACAGCCATCAGGGCTGTGGAGGAGGATGATGAAATTACCCAAAAAAGTGTGTAAAATGAGAAGAAAGAGAGCAGAGAAAGAGAAACTGCAAAGGAAACTGAGGAAGGTCTCAGTCTCTTTCAGAGAGAGAAGGTAAACCAGTGTGGAGAGCAGTAAAAGGAGCCAGGGAAAGAAAGACAATGAGGAAGGAAGGATGGATCCACTGCACCAGATATGCTAAAAGGTCAGATGAGATGGTTCCGAGGGCTCATGGGATAAAGCCGATAAAGCGCCAATGCTGGTCTCTGGGAGCTTGGGGACAGGGGTTTCCGTGCAGACATGGCAGTGGGGTGGGCTGAGGAGGGAAGAACTCTGCAACGATTAACTCAGGAATTGAAAATTCTCTCTGGAGATTTTTTTCCCCATTCAAACGTTTTTCAAACAATTTTAGGAAGAATTGCATTTTTTTCAATGTGTTACTAAACATACAGCAGTTCCAGAATTCACAGTGAAAGATCTGTTTCATTCCAGATTTTGTAAAAGTGACCCTTGGCCACTTGCAAGGGATTTGTCCTGTTGGCAGGCTTTGTGCTGCCCCAGACCTGGGCTAACTGGGCATTCTGAGCACAGAGCCCCGCGGGAGACGAAGGGACAGCTCACTTCGCCTCCCATTCTAAAAAGCACAGACCCTCTTGCCCGCTAGGTTTTCTAGATTTATTCTGGGTTAGTTGCCAAACCATGGCCAATAAAAACCTGGCTGTGCAAAACATACATGCTGCAGAATACAAATGTAATAGACAGAAGAAGACACACACTTCCATTTTAAAAAGTCATAAAAATGCCTGGAAAATTAAAGAATTTTCTTTAGAGAATATCATGACACTATTTACTTTCATAACATGAAATCATGTACATTTATATGTATTTTTAAATGTAGTTTTTCACCAAAGTCACTCAAGCTATATAAAGTTGTGCTTTTTCATGAACACGAACAGCCGTGTTCAAGGCTGAAAGTTGCGTTCACATCAAAGTGCCCAGGAAGTCATGCTTTTCTCGTGTTTTCACCTCTTCATTTTCACTTTTTTGTTTTGTTTTGTTTTAATTTCCAGGTTGGAGGCACAAATTATCTGTCAAACTCGATGGAAACAATGCCACTCAAGGGACCCTGATCCTCCGTGTAGGTGGAACGACCGGGAACACGGAAGAGTTTGTGATGGCCAGGTAGGCAAGGGCCAAGGACGAGGCAGTGGCAGGTGGCACGGTGCTGGGCACTCGCTCAGACTGGCTCAGTCAGCAGCTCGGGCTTTTCCGACAGCGGAATGCCATGGGCTGTCCTGACACATTCGACTTTTCTTTTCACTTCTGGCTTTCCAGATATAAAATAGAAATCATAGGCTCTATTTTCTCTGCAGTTCACCTACAAACAGAAAAGGTTAGAAAATGATAGCATAAAATTATAGATCTAGATAGGTGGACAATAAACAAGTTATTGTTAATCCAGTCCATTAACATTATACAAATTCGCCTATGTTTTGGTTTGTATAGATTCAAATTACTTATAGAATAAGACATTTATATAAATGGCCAGATTTCTAATAAGCTGTCTGAGTAGCATGCACAGATACTGGACAAGTGTTGAAATAGTCAAAGGTGGGAATAATTCAGCAGAGACATTCACTGTGTACCTTTGGCTAAAGTCCCCTTTTATCTTGAGTTTCCTTTAATCTTTTCTTTGGTCAGCCTTGGCATTTTTGTATTAGAGATTTTACTTACGTTGTTTAATTCTGTAATCCATTCCAGAATTAAGGTTATGCACACTAATTAGATGCTTCCTTTTTGCAAACCAATGAATGGATTAGATTTTTGCCTCTTTGCTTTCCATCGTCTTCAAAGATTGGGCAGGGGCATGAAAAACAAGAGATTTCTGTGGTTATTTTGTCAGCCAAAGGATGCGGCAGATTAATCATTCTGGCCGTTTGTGCACATCATCTTGCCTCAGTGCACCTGCCGGCAACTATGGGTTCAGTCTGATCCTCTGGACCCTTGTGAACGCACAGGCTCCAGCCCACCTTTCCAGCCCTGTCTCCCACCATCTGGTTTGTTCATCTTCAGCTCAGCCAGATTACCCTGATTGCACTACCCAGCATTCACTAGATCCCACTTTTCCTCTCTTTGACTTCACTCAGGTGGTTCCTCTGTTCCAAATACCCTTCCCTGTCTTAACATATCTTATTTCCACGTGTTCTTTGTGTCTCCATTAAGCTAGGTCCCTGAGAGCAGTTCAGTACGATCAATCGTGTGCTTGTGGCTCTGAGGCCCACAGGATATTGCCTAAGGCTGGGCAGTTTGAGCTCTGCATAAAGGCCTCTGACCTGGGGCAGGTGGGAACAAATAGGCAGTTCCCACCCTGACCTGCTTAAAAATTTGTGAGAATATTTTGGGGCACCTCGGTGGCTCAGTCGGGTGAGCATCCGACTCTTGGTTTCGGCTCAGGTCATGATTTCAGGGTCATGAGATCGAGCCCCACGTGGGGCTCTGTGCTCAGCGGGGAGTCTGCTTAAGAGTCTTTTCTCCTGCCCCTCCCCACCGACTCACCCTAGCGCTTGCGCACTCTCTCTCTCAAACAACTAAATAAAATCTTTTTTAAAAATTGTAAGAATATTTTGACATTTCTGCATTTCTTTTGCAAATATTTAAAGAAGCAGTCTGTCATCTTGTTGCAGTCATCCAATCCTCTTTTAAGAATAATTCAGTATTTCTGGTTTACGGTATATGTCCCATCTTGAAATGAAGTCAGATTAACACGTCTGCACGCTCTCTATTCCTATTTTTCAGTCAAGCATCAAGAGTCTGGCCCCTCCCTGTGGATTATATTTTAGTCATGTGGGCTTCTAATGACACAGTTATGGAGGTCCGCACAGTAGGTTCACTGAGTGAAGGCAGTCCAGAGAGCAACAGGAAGATTATCCCTAAGAAGCTGGAAGAAAAGTAAAGCAATTAATTCTACATGGAATAGAGTAAGACAGGCCCTAGGAATAGCAAAATTCATTCACTCAACAAACATTTAAATGCCCACTGTGTGCCAGGAATTGTTCTGATTGCTAAGAATACAGCCACAGGTCCTGTCCTTGTGGAGCTTTTCTTCTAATGAGAGGAGATAGACAATACATTAAGAATGGAAGAAGGAAACAAGAGAAATAGGGAAATCACATCTGGTCTCATTTTGGCTTGGATAAGATGTGCCTTATGCCTCAAGATAATCCACTTCTCTGCTCTGTTGCCATGCTCACCAAAACATCTTCTTTTTTTTTTTAAGGATTTTATTTATTTATTTGAAAGAGAGAGACACAGTGAGAAAGGGAACACAAGCAGGGGGAGTGGGAGAGGGAGCAGCAGGCTTCCGGCGGAGCAGGGAGCCTGATGCGGGGCTCTATCCCAGGACCCTGGGATCATGACCTGAGCCGAAGGCAGACACTTAACGACTGAGCCACCCAGGCGCCCCCATAAGGCACCATTTAGAGAATGATTCACTGTAGTCTCAAAAATGCACTAGCTAAAGCAACCTATTCTAAACAAACCCTCTGAACAAGACTGCCACGGGGGCAAATGACATTCACCTTGCAGTATGTTAGAGAGTTGCTCTAAAGTAGCAGGGACTGGGAAACAGGTCTTGGGAAGCCCTGCAGATCATAGATTCCTGGGACAGATGTCATCAGAGTTCTATCTTCAAGCCAAGTATTAAATGCGAACAAACAAATTATGAGAAACACCATCATTCCCCTCATCCCAGAAAGCAGCAATGCCAGTCACAAAGCTAAAGTTTAGGAATTTTCAGAATAAGACTCCTGTCTACATTATAATTGCTGAGATTATAGAAGCTCCCCCAAATCCCCGAGCTGCCCCGGGAATGGGTCTCTGTGTGTGTGTGTGTGTGTGTATCTTGTGCACATCCTTTCTCCCTCCTGTTGAATATCCTGAGCCTCACTTCCCGGTCGACCTCACCCCAGTTGGCCCTATTCTCTGATAGGGCTGGGCAAGAATTCCAGAGTGGAGAAAATGGTGTTTCTGTACCATTAAATCTCTGTTCCCTACCTCGCTGTCTTTTTTTGCCCTCACACCTAAATGCTTCAGCACACATTCCCTAAGAACAAAGCCAGTCTTCTACATAATCACAATATAGTTATTAAACCTAGGAAATCCAACAATGATATGATCCTATCAATCGACATTCCATATTCAAATTTTGCCAATTGTCCAAATAATATTCTTGATAGCAATTTTTTCCCAGTCGGGATCCATTCCACAATATGATGCTGCATGCAGTTGTCTCCTTAGACTTCTCTATTCTGAAACAATTCCTCAGCCTTTATGTTTCTTGACCTTGACATTTTTGGAGGGTACAGGTCAGTTCTTTTTGTGGAATGTCTCTCAGCTTGGATTTCTGATGTTTCCTCAATATTGGATTCCCGTAGTATAGTTTTGAAAGGAAGGAATATCACAATAGTGATCTTGTGTCCTTCTCAGTGAGTTGTATCAGGAAACACATGATGTCAGTTTATTCCACTATTGGTAATGTTAGTTTTTTTTTTTTCTTTTTTTTTTCTTTTTTATTCTTATGTTAATCCCCATACATTACATCATTAGTTTTAGATGAAGTGTTCCATGATTCATTGTTTGTGCACAACACCCAGTGCTCCATGCAGAATGTGCCCTCCTCAATACCCATCACCAGGCTAACCCATCCTCCCACACCCCTCCCCTCTAGAACCCTGTTTGTTTTTCAGAGTCCATCGTCTCTCATGGTTCATCTACCCCTCCGATTTCCCCCGCTTCATTCTTCCCCTCCCGCTACCTTCTTCTTCTTCTTCTTTTTTTTTTTTTCTTAACATATATTGCATTATTTGTTTCAGAGGTACAGATCTGAGATTCAACAGTCTTGCACAATTCACAGCACTTACCAGAGCACATACCCTCCCCAGTGTCTATCACCCAGTCACCCCATCCCTCCCACCCCACCCCCCACTCCAACAATACTCAGTTTGTTTCCTGCGATTAAGAATTCCTCATATCAGTGAGATCATATGATACATGTCTTTCTCTTTTTGACTTATTTCACTCAACATAATACTCTCCAGTTCCATCCACGTCGTTGCAAATGGCAAGATCTCATTCCTTTTGATGGCTGCATAATATTCCATTGTATATATATATACCACCTCTTCTTTATCCATTCATCTGTCGATGGACATCTTGGCTCTTTCCACAGTTTGGCTATTGTGGACATTGCTGCTATAAACATCAGGGTGCACGTACCCCTTCGGATCCCTACTTTTGTATCTTTGGGGTAAATACCCAGTAGTGCAATTGCTGGATCATATGGTAGCTCTATTTTCAACTTTTTGAGGAACCTCCATACAGTTTTCCAGAGTGGCTGCACCAGCTTGCATTCCCACCAACAGTGGAGGAGGGTTCCCCTTTCTCCGCATTCCCGCCAACATCTGTCGTTTCCTGACTTGTTAATTTTAGCCATTCTGACTGGTGTGAGGTGGTATCTCATTGAGGTTTTGATTTGGATTTCCCTGATGCCGAGCGATATTGAGCACTTTTTCATGTGTCTGTTGGCCATTTGGATGTCTTCTTTGGAAAAATGTCTGTTCATGTCTTCTGCCCATTTCTTGATTGGATTATTTGTTCTTTGGGTGTTGAGTTTGATGAGTTCTTTATAGATTTTGGATACCAGCCCTTTATCTGATATGTCATTTGCAAATATTTTCTCCCATTCTGTCGGTTGTCTTTTGGTTTTGTTGACTGTTTCCTTTCCTTTGCAAAAGCTTTTTATCTTGATGAAGTCCCAACAGTTCATTTTTGCCCTTGCTTCCCTTGCCTTTGGCGATGTTTCTAGGAAGAAGTTGCTTCGGCTGAGGTCAAAGAGGTTGCTGCCTGTGTTCTCTTTTAGGATTTTGATGGACTCCTGTCTCACATTGAGGTCTTTCAACCATTTGGAGTCTATTTTTGTGTGTGGTGTAAGGAAATGGTCCAGTTTCATTCTTCTGCATGTGGCTATCCAATTTTCCCAACACCATTTGTTGAAGAGACTGTCTTTGTTCCATTGGACATTCTTTCCTGCTTTGTCAAAGATGAGTTGACCATAGAGTTGAGGGTCCATTTCTGGGCTCTCTATTCTGTTCCATTGATCTATGTGTCTGTTTTTGTGCCAGTACCATGCTGTCTTGATGCTGTCTTCAAGCTTTGTAATAGAGCTTGAAGTCCGGAATTGCAATGCCGCCGGCTTTGCTTTTCTTTTTCAATATTCCTCTGGCTATGCGGGGTCTTTTCTGGTTCCATACAAATTTTAGGATTATTTGTTCCATTTCTTTGAAAAAAGTGGATGGTATTTTGATGGGGATTGCATTGAATGTGTAGATTGCTCTAGGTAGCATTGACATCTTCACAATATTTGTTCTTCCAATCCATGAGCATGGAACGTTTTTCCATTTCTTTGTGTCTTCCTCAATTTCTTTCATGAGTATTTTATAGTTTTCTGAGTACAGATCCTTTGTCTCTTTGGTTAGATTTATTCCTAGGTATCTTATGGTTTTGGGTGCAATTGTAAATGGGATCGACTCCTTAATTTCTCTTTCTTCTGTCTTGTTGTTGGTGTATAGGAATGCCACTGCCTTCTGTGCATTGATTTTATATCCTGCCACTTTACTGAATTCCTGTATGAGTTCTAGCAGTTTTGGGGTGGAGTCTTTTGGGTTTTCCACATAAAGTATCATATCATCTGCAAAGAGTGAGAGTTTGACTTCTTCTTTGCCAATTTGGATGCCTTTGATTTATTTTTGTTGTCTGATTGCTGTGGCTAGGACTTCCAATACTATGTTGAATAGCAGTGGTGATAGTGGACATCCCTACCGCGTTCCTGACCTTAGGGGGAAAGCTCTCAGTTTTTCCCCATTGAGAATAATATTCGCTGTAGGTTTTTCATAGATGGCTTTTATGATATTGAGGTATGTACCCTCTATCCCTATACTCTGAAGAGTTTTGATCAAGAAAGGATGCTGTACTTTGTCAAAAGCTTTTTCTGCATCTATTGAGAACACCAAAACATCTTCTGATGACTAGTTTGGTTACGTCATTCTTTTCATGCAAGTGAAGAAGTTACCAGGGAGAGAGTTGGAGGACATTTTGGTTAATAAAAAGAAAACATTTCCCCCTTGGGAACAGAGATCAGTTTTCTGTGAATTTAGCTCCTCATTGACAGTGTGATCATTTCCTGGTGTCAATAAAAATCTGGTGTTCTGAGACTAGAAAACCAAGACCAGACCTTTCATTATGGAGATCCCATCAAGATAATGCCTCTCTAGGCATTCCCCAACATCTACTAGTCAAGTAGGGAATGGGAACATTTACCTCACCCTTCCTTTCAAGCTTCAGAACCCTGCTATTCCAAGATGCTGATCGACATGAACAAAAACAATAAATCTCCTGCAAGCAAATGCCAGCAGACGTGACTTCCTCTTTCATGATACAACACAGATGTGGCTTCACTTCAGCACTGAGAATACCCAGTGTGAGCTTATGAGTCTTCTTTTTCTGTTTACAGTGGAACACTTAAGCCAGGCATGACTTACACAAAGTTAATTGATGCAGACGTTAATGTTGGAAATGTTACAAATATTGAGTTCATTTGGAAGGAATATTTGTTTGGGCGTTCTCAGAATAAGTTGGGAGCAGAAATGGTGACAGATATATCTGGAAAACATGGATATGAGTAAGTATTACCTTTCCCTTGTATTTTAAACTCTGTATTAAACAGAGTTTAAAGTTTTAATAGTATTTAAAACCTACATATAATTTGAAATTTACAACTTATATAAAAATTTGTACATCTTGAAATTTTATAATTAAAGAAAAGGAAACTTATTTAAAAAATGAACATTATATTTGCAAAAGTGATTACAAAATAATAATTACTCATTACGTTAGATCTACCATGTCTCTTTTTCCCCCTCGAATCATTTTAATATCCTTTTTTTCCCCCTTAAAATTTTTCAGATCTACCTTCTGTAGCCAGGACATTATGGGACCCAGTATTGCCCAGATCCTGAAACCATGCTAATTTCAGATACAGTCTTGATGGATTTATTTAATGAAAGAAAGAATCTTCTTCTGGTTGGTATCTGAACCAAACTTGGCCTTCGTGAATGAGAGGAGGTGATGCCAAAGTGTGGTGGTATAATTTGCGCAAAAGTGAGACTCTGGTTGAGTACTTGAGGCACATTTTGAGTATCTCCAGGTAGAATAAGCACAGTTCTAGAATGATATAAAGAATATTTATTATGTTGTTAAATCTTGCTAAGACAAATTATGGCTATAGTTCATGATCTGTAGATGATAACCCTGTGGGTTGATGTGTCTATGTATTAATAATGAAAACCGATGAGAGTACATTAGTATTTCCAAGGTGTTCCTTGGTCTTCAGGTGTGTGTGAAGTAAAAGAGATTTGGGGGCTTATCTGTGATATGTCCAATAGTTAGCAATAGGCCCTGAGGATCATCAGCCCCTTCTCTCAAAGCCACCTGCTGGGGGAGAATTACTCCTCTCTGGACCTTGAAAGCCCCATTGCAAATTTGCATTTAGCCTAAAGGCAGCATTTCATTTGTAAAGCACTTGACTATCCCTTTGTGTTTGCAATAATAATCCTGTAATATTTAACTGTGTCAATTTTTTAAAACTTTGCTTCAATTTTTTGTAATTCAGGTGTCCGTATCCAGGGTAAATCAAAGATGACTGTTTTTATCTGCTGTTTTCTAATGGGTTTAGTGTTTAGTCCCCAGCATTGTACTATAAATGTTGTTGAAAAGAAATGATGACAGATCCTCTGCAGGAGTTTTCTTGATTCTCCTTGGTGCCTTGCTGACAAGCGAACATCAAGAAAAGGCCCCTGGATGTACTTAAACCTGCCCCTAACAGGGCAGAAAGCAGAGAACCGAGTGAGGTGTCTCTTTCCCATTGTGCAAGTGGGAGATAGAAGACTGATTGGAGCATGAGACTCAATGGAAGGGGGAAAGGAGATGCGGACATGTTTGGCACAATCTGGCTGATTGTCTACTCTCTGGTGGGCATGTCAACCCAAGGCCTAGGCCAGCCCGGGAGCAGGGTGGCCATGAGCATCCCCGTGGGAGGGTCTGAGTCTCTGAGACCTACTAACAGTGTGGCAGCCCAACACTCCTCGGCAATCTGGCAGTGGAGTCGGCCCCATGACTCTGGGGGCAGGACACCTTCCTTGTCCTGACCCTGCAACTGTTCTCTGTTCAGCCTTTCTTTGTTTTTTGTTTTTTGTTTTTTGTTTTTTGTTTTTTTTGAAAAGGGCTTGGCCACCAGCAGGAAGAGTTATGGATCAAGTAGCAGCATTAGGCTCTGTGAGTCCTGGCCTGCCTCCTTGCCCAAGAGGCCTCTTGGCTGGCTCTTTCTAAGCTTGGAAAGACAGATGGGAGTCAATTAACTTCTGGCAACCTATTTTAATAAAACACAAACTTTCTGTTCCATAGATCTTACTGTCTTTTTTTTTTTCTTGTATTACAAGAATGTTGTGAGGATAAAAAAGTGTGCATGGTCTATCTAGGCAAAGGGATTCTCAAAGTTTAGAATGATGACATTGTTTTCCATGTGTATTTTTCCCTCAGAAAGCACTAAAAAATGACATCCTTTCTCTCTGAATGCCCTGCATTATGGTAACTTAGTATTGTGAACCAGCAGATGTTGGGGCAAGGACTGATAGGAAATTCTGCTCCTTGAATGGACTGCCATTAATGTTGATGAGTGACTACCAATCCAGTGAGCCATTGATTTCCGCCACCCCTAATTGCCATTGATTCACCCATACCTTGTCATCATATCACCCCAAATGCTCACCTCCAAACCTGTTTGGTTTTACTGTACTCCTTTCCATTTATATTCAAATCGTTGAACAAAACTACAATATCCATTTTATAAAGATCCACAATAATCATTTTTTTTAAGTAGGCTCCCCACCCAACGTGGAGCCCAACGCAAAGCCTGAACCCTGAGATCAAGACCTGAGGTGAGGTCAAGAGTCAGACGCTTCACTGACTGAGCCCTCCAGGTGCCCCAACAATAATCATTTTTAAGTGAGCTTCATATTAACTAAAAAAATTAGCAGTACTTCCTCCATATCATCTTATATTGAGGTGGTTTTGAAATTTCCAAGATTGCCTGAAAAATGTCTTTTGGCAGTGAGTTTGTTTAAACTGGGAGCCAATGGGGCGCCTGGGTGACTCAGTTGTTAAGCGTCTGCCTTCAGCTCAGGTATTGATCCCAGGGTCCTGGGATCGAGCCCTGCATCGGGCTCCCTGCTTGGTGGGAAGCCTGCTTCTCCCTCTCTCACTCCCCCTGCTTGTGTTCCCTCTCTCACTGTGTCTCTCTCTGTCATATAAATAAATAAAATCTTAAAAAAATAATAAAAATTAAAAAAAATAAACTGGGAGCCAAGCAAAATCCCTATACTGTCTCTGATTGACTCGTCCCTCAGTCTCTTTTCACCTGTAACAGCTCCTCCCTTCCCCTTCCTGCACACCAGTCATTAAATAAAGCAGGTCACTCGTCCTGGAAATTTTCTCACATGCAACTGCTGGAACCCTCTTGGTATCATTTCACACATTTCTCCATCCTGTGTATTTCCTGTAAACCAGTTTTTAGGTTGAGAGATGTGATGAGACTCAGGTTCCTCCATGCTGGGCAGTGGAGACTGAGCACCTTGCAGCTCTCTTGTGCTCACTCATGCTTTCTCTCTTTCTCTTTCTATTTAAAGAATAGAGTATGTATTAGCACCTTACAAAGTTGGAAGGGCTATACTAATGAGAGCTGTGGGTAGAATATTGGATGGCTTGGAATCTGGTTGCTAACACAACAGGCTAAGAGGAGAAAGTGCCCGAAGAAGAGTTTGCTGTCAAGAGTTTGTGCTCTGGGAAGAGCACGGTGGGGGCAAATGGCCATATGAAGATCCAGTTATGGAAGAGGCATTGAACTCTGTGCTCTGTCTGGGGCTGGAGGAGGTAGACAATAGAGGATCCTGCAAAAGTAAGGAAGATTCAGATACCCGGCTGATTTGTGTGGCTCTCTCCCCAGTGTCCTCAGATCGGAGCAGATAATAGGAATTACCCTGCTTACTAGAGCCCCCAGGTTTTGTTGACTCTGCAACTGTCCAGAATAAGCCTAGGGCCTCAGAAACAGAAATGTATGCCAAGTTATTGTTTCCCCAGCCTCTTAAAACCTCAGCTCATGTTAGATAAACATAAAAATCTCATGTACCTCCTGGGGTCTTTTCTCCTCCACTTGGGAAAAATCAATCTTTTCTCATATGCCTTCTGACTAAAAAGATTTTGTAAATCTTTACTTTCTGTAGATCATGTAATAAAAATGATAGGTGTGCTTTGTTTGTGTTATGCTTTTTTTTCCCCCAAATACATACTTATAACACCAGATAGGCTTCTTTATTTTACACATACATCTCTAAAAGTTCTGCTGTAAATGATTTAAGCTTTAGGAGAGTGGAGTTTCTACTAGATTCCCTGCCAGTATGAGAGGCTGAATGTCGACTGAGCCAAAGATTTGGGGCCAGAGACTTGGGGCCAATGTTTTCTTCCTTGGGCAGCCTATTTTCTATATTTGCATTTTACAAACATTTAGCCTTGCCCTGGTCACATATTTTTCCTCTCTTTTCATAGGCTTTGCTTTCATTCATTCATTGAACACACATTTACTGAGTTATCCTCCTGTGTCGGGCATTGTGTGAAGTAATGAGGTTTTATGCAAAACACAAGATAGCTCCTGTTCTAGTGCTCTGCGCAGCCCCGAGCAGGACACGGGAAAGGAAATCCTTGCTTACTATCTATCATGGAAAGCACTGGGATTGAAGCAGGCAGAGAGAGAGAGAAGCAAAGAAAATACTGCTCTTCTCACCTTCTTGGCCCTCTGCTCACTGATCTCGTGTGGAAGCCGTAACAATAGACAGAAATCAGTCAGCTTTCATTTCTGAGTCCTGTGGTCACCACATCCGTTGTTACAAGTGATTCCATTTTGGAATTCAGTGTGCTTTATGTTTGCAGTTGCTAAGATCCCGGAGAACTAGAACTGGAATTTCACTCATCCACACACACATCTATCCATCAAGGATCTGTTGACTGTGCTCTGTGGCCAGAAGAGCAGTCATTTCCTTGAGGGTCCCAGGCAGAGGGAGCCAGAGGCTGTGCCCAGTAGATTTAAGACGATACCACCCAGAGTGTGATTAACACAGTCACCTCAGGCTCATCTCTGACGCACTTCAGGGGCCCTGAGTCAATGGCAGAAGGATGCCCATTGATCATGAAAACAGATGGAATTACCAAGCTTCAGTCCATCATTTCTCAACAACCACAGGAAACCTCACACTTAAAAGAATTCAAGATTAGAAATGTGTGAGTGTGTGGCGGAAGAGAATGCCACTTGAACTCAACTCGTCGCTCAAAGAGCAGTAGGCTACGCTTCTGCACACCGTTCCTGGAGGTAAGACTCTCAAGCTCTTTGTTTAAGGAAGAGCTCCATCCAAACCATTATTCCATGTGCAAGTGTAAGAAAAGGGAAGTTTAGTGACTCCCTTCTGGCTTAAAAATGAAAAGACATGCCTATTTATAGCTTCTGGAGAATGGAAAGGATTTTCAATTTTATTTCCACAACAAAACATAGTTAAGTCAACCAACGAGAATTAGACCTTTTCCAGGATGATGGTTGCTTTCACAGGATACAGCATCATCACCTAAAGTCGTTTTATCAACAACGTTTTTATTATGCACAGAGCCATTTGCTTTTTCTCTGAAGCTAAAGGGAAGTCCCATGGATTTTCAAGACCAGAAACTGGTTATCACAGAGAGAAGGATACAGGCCCACGGAGTCCAAAACACACAGCGTGGAAAAAGCAAAATGCAGAAGACAAAAGGAATATGGGACACACTATTTCGTACCAACAGTGCAGGATGAAGTTTTCTGAAATCTCAGAAACAGAAGTTTATTCCTTTTTGAACTTCCACAATATTTCAAAATTTAACATAGAGAATAGAGCA